CACTAGTCCCATGTCACACCCACAGCCAACCCTACCCCCAGCCCATGAGAACCGTAGACCACCAGCGCACCAGAGGCCCCCAGCCCAGAGCGGGGCACCAGGGCACACACCAGCCCAGGGCCCGGCAACCCGCCCGCCAGAGCCCAAGCCCCTCCCGCCCCACCAGAGTCACAGCCCAGGGGCGGCACACGCCCAGAGTCCCAAGCCCCCCGTGCCCACCCCGGACCCGCCCCAGCATGGCCAGGCAACCGGACCAGGGACCCATGACCGCCGCTACAAACTACCCGAGGGCCCACATGCAGCCACCAGAAGACATACCCCAGAACCACCAAGGCCCTCCCCAGAGTGATGAAGAGGCCGAGGTCAGGCTGAAGTCAGCTGAGAGACACAGAGACAGAACCAGGTTAGCAGCTCTGTCTACAGCTTCAGAGGGAGGGAGCAGGACCCACAAGAAACAGTTCCAMCAACTTTGGAGGTTGGTTTTTGWTTATTTGCTTTGTTTTTTGTGGAAAGCTGCTTGTTTAATAAGCTTTTATCAACTGATTTGTGTTTTTATTTGTATCATTGAACACATAGGCTACACACACAGTGGTTTTGATTATAGAAACAGTGTTTTTATACTGCAAATCAAGTAATTGTGTTAAAAATCAGGTATTCATGTTAAAATTGTGGTTCCACTTGCATCCGTGGTGCGATCAGATTAAAGGCCTTCAAACTCTCTGGATGGATTTCAACCTCAGCCCTCCCCTAACTTTGAGTGAAAAATGTCTGACTTACCTCATGACAGTTTTGACTGAAKGTAAATCATAAAARSKTTTTCATAGAATCCAACAGTTACTCTAAACATAACATCTGATCAAGATGATGTTAAATACGGACATTATTCAACCTGTAAATCTGACAGGTCTATAACGTAGGCATTACAGTCAGTTTCTAGTGTAGGATGTAGCCAACAGGATGCAGGAACAGGTGAAACTCCCCTACACCACCAAACRCTAACCCGTCCCYTMWCACCCCCATCCCACTCTTAGGATTTTTTAAAAGTTGGCAGCCCTGCAGCTCAGACCGATCCTTTCCACCTGTTGTGCGCACAAATTGTTTTTAATCATAGTTTGAAAAAGAGATTCTTAATTGGGCCACGAGCGCCACCTTGAGGGCCTCAAAAGAACAACAGTTTTTTCTTTTTTTTTTTAATTTTGGGCCGTAGAGGGCCGTGGGACCACATTGATTTTGAATAGGGTGCAATAAGTAAGTAAGTAAGTAAGTAAG